ACACATATTTTCGAACATTGATATTTCTGAATTGAACACCATTCATTTCTCGAATTGAGTCTTCCGAAACATTTAATCATGGGAACTTCTTCAATTTCTCATCACTTCTTGCAGTGAATACAACATATTATGCAACACCCCATATGCGAAAGTTGTGTAGAAAATGTTTATGACAATACCTGTGTTGTGTTTTGATGTAATTACGCACTGGTAGAATTACACAACGAAACCGCCTCCACTCGCCGCATCAAGAACATCACAAGTCATGATTTCTAGAATCACTGTTTCCTGAGCGAATGAACATTTGCAATCTTTCCATTAAAATCCAAACACATTCCCTACATGTTTTATATCATCTTATATCTTATGGACCATATCATGAAGGGAGGCTGAACGATAATATAGAAATGAGGTCGTCTCGGAAATTACTTAACTGTAATAATGGTGATGTATAAACGGAAGATTTTCTCGAATACGCCCTCAATCTGATGTGACACTTATGAGAAACAAAGAAAGTACTGACACGTCAAATAAAGCCGACATAAAAGTTAATGGTCATCATGAGGGACAGAATAATACCTACTCGAGTAAAACTTTGATGTCGAATAAAAATATTTCTCTCTGGCTATTTTCTCTAGATATATAGTTTGAAATCTCGGAGGAAATGGAAAACTGTGTCATGAAATCCATGTTTCATCACATCTCAGCATCATCATTGAGCACATGTGAACATGTAATACTCACTTACCTTCCTCGTGATATTATAAAAGGTGTCAACGATCTGATAGGGACAGTATTCCTATTTCCGAAACGATGAGACATAAAAAATCGATCAGGATGAACCAAAGTTGCGTGATTTGAACCCCTTCAATATGATGTTCCAAAAATTCGAGAAAGGCTAGCCGTTCCTGGAATATTTTGGAGATAACTGAAAATAACTGATTTTAATTTCATTCATCCTCTTGAATACTATTCATGAAAATATATAGAAATTTTGTGTGAACAGGTATAATTCATCTTGAAATAGAAGATGAGATTTTCAGAAATATTCTTTCTTCATTATTTTCAGAGATAAACCACGCAACTTCTGTTTTTACATAGGCATTGTATTTGTTCTTCATATCATTGAGCATAGCTGAGGATTTTCTTTTCAGCCATGTTTATGTTGTTGACATTCTCACATAAAACGAAGTTGAAAAATGGTTGAAACACTTGCTAAGTAATATGTCATGGTTATAAGCAAATAGGTTGGCATTACTACAATTATCAATAATCCTATATATCTACGACGCTACATTATCATGCCATATGCAAGAAGGATAAAATGGTACAGAAAAATCGGAAATGAAAATTTCTCGTTGAACATTCAAGATACGTATTCCTGAAAATAACTAGCCTCAAGAATAATATATATTATAATTTTCGAGTTCCTGGAATTCAATCTGATTTCAGTCCGATATTTGAGGATGAGTATGTATGTAGATAAGGGTGATGTGTACACTGCGACCTATGTGATCTGTTAGTTGCTCTGCCTCTTCTTGATATGCGACCAAGGATTTCTCGATCATAGTTGTTGTTCTGATCCTATTCTCTTCAGAAGATTGAGAATGTGGAATGGTTTCAGAGAAGGAAGATCTCCTATTTCGATTTCATATGCTACTAAACAGGGGGTTCTGGCATTGCTACACAGTTCGAGAGAATGTGGATGGAGGTTCCGTCCTCTTCTTCACAGAATCTGCACTTTGTTTCCTCTCCTCATAGTTAACAGTGCTCTGATAGGGCTCCAGTCAGTATTCGAATCTCATTGTCACCCATGTTGATGCATTTGGTAGATCTTTTCTGTTTGTGGGTTTCCGATATTTCCGCTTGCCTGATACCTTGTGGGTCATGCCAGCATCTGGCTCTCCCAAGATCCATTTCTTCATCAAATTCCTCAACTACTGCTGTTTCACTGATCTCACAAGAGACTTCAGGTCCCATGAATGGTGTTTCAATTCCTCAACTATTGTTGTTTTAATAATCTCACAGAAAGGTTCAGGTCCCATGAATGGTGTTTCAGCACACATTTTCGCGAGTCTATTTGTCATTTCACTACTGTCCAGTCCCCGGAACCAATAGAAGGGTGACCTCATTTGCTCTACCTGAATCGTTCAGTTATCCTAGGCAGTCGCAGACTATCTTAGAGCTCATAACATGTTGAGCTCGACACATTTTCCGATGACCTGAATTTCCGACTGACAGACACCCAAGCTCTCTGAGTATCTGGTTCAAGGACCAAATACTTCAATCCCAGTTTCTTGTGGCTTGCTAGAGCCGTCTGTGTATCATTCGATGGCATTATCAATCAGTTTCGAAATTGTGATATCTTGCTTCAAATCATTCTTACAACTCAGCTTTATATTGCATGTTTTTTTCACGAAGCTGATTGTTTTAGACATTCCGTCGCCAATCGTATTCGGAAGTAGGTTCCGGTCTGTGTCTGATGATTCTCTCTCTTATTTATCTATATGAATTTTGCTTTGTCGTATTCTCCACTAGAATATGGAGGAGCACAAAATTCAGTTTCACTCCTATAGCGGTTTTAGAACCTCACAGGAATTGATCCTTCTCGTGGTGAGATTGGTTCTATTTCTTAACGCCACTGGCCAATAGGTGATGATTGTTTCCACTATTGCTGTGTACATCCACTGCAGTATCTCTGGGTCGCATTCCCAGTTTCTTTCTGTAAAATTTCTGCTCATCATTAGAGCTTCCATGGCTTCATCAGTTACATTATCTTTATGCATGTTCCAGATAAGTCTGTTGTCTAGGGTAAGGCCTAGATATTTGACCTCTGTCTTCCATTCGATGGCCTGCTCATCTACATTGATGGTCTCTATATCAAGTTCCCTTGCAATCATAACCATGTCATCGGCATACCCCTTGCAAGATATGTCGAGGTTTGTTGAAGTGCAGAGGAAATCATTCCACATGAGGGCAGGGGGTGCAACTCTGTCCTGCGGACACCCTCTGCTGTACTTATGGAAATAATCGCTTTTTCCACTTCCTTTTTTGCTATCCTGGTAGAAAGCAGTTGCGACAACTATCTGGAAGTCATACATGCCTATCATCTGATGCTATGAGTACAAAGATCGTTAACTGGCAAGTATCTACGGAGCCCTCATGTTCAGATCATAGACATATACGATTTGATGTGAAAACAGGACACCGACTGATAGTACAATTTCGTGATCCTAAGTGCACAGACTGGAATGAGTACTATGAATCTCTCCAGAAGCACCTAGATTCCAGAATCAGTACTATTAAAAATAGTGCCGAAATCGAAGTGGTGAATGAGCGTATAGCAACCGCAATTCTAGGGGCCATCAGGAAAACTGCCCACTAAAGGGAAAGAAAGACCATAGAGGACACCTTGGTGGAGCAAGAGCCTGGACAAAAAAAGACAAGAAGTTTGTCTCAATCGAGCTAAAGATGCAGGGTGCTGGGATACTTACCGCACATCTTTAACGGCTTATAACAAAGGAATAAGGAAAGCCAAAAGAGATTCTTGGGGGAGGTTCTGTCAAAGTATATCAGATGTACCTGCCAGCATGAAAATTCACAAGGCTCTCGCCAGAGATTCGACCCAAGAGATCGGCTCGATAAAACGACCGGATGGCTCTTTTACGGATTCTGGTAGGCAAACGTTAGAGGTTCTTCTACAGACTCACTTTCCCGGAAGCCTGCTCCTGGAGGACCGTTAGCAGATTCTACTTCCAATGGGATCGATAATACGACCAAAAAAGGAGGACTGGTAGAATGCCTCAATGGTGGTCTCCCCAGAGTCAGTGGAATGGGCGGTGAATTGTTTCTCCCCATTCAAGTCTCCGGGAGAGGACGGAGTTTTTCCTGCCCTCTTACAAAATAGTAGAGAAGTTATACTACCTCTCCTGGTCAAATTATTTCGAGCGAGTTTGGCGTGGAGCTACATTCCGCTAGGCTGGTCAACTGCGAGGGTTGTGTATATACACAAATCGGGTACGGCAAATCATTCCCTACCCAAATCCGTCCGACCGATCAGCCTTACCTCGTTTCTATTAAAAACTCTAGGAAGAATTCTAGACGGGCATATTAGAGAGGGGAATCTAAAGGAGCATCCCCTAAATCCCCATCAATATGCCTAACAATCAGGCAAATCAACGGATTCAGCACTGAACAATCTTGTAGGAAAGATCAGTCATTCCTTATATCATGAGGAAATTGCGCTGGTAGCTTTCCTAGACATAGAAGGAGCGTTCAAAAACGCCCTACCACAATCACTCTACATGGCAATGTGAGGTAGAGGAATCAGTTGATACAGCCATATCACCAACTTTTCTACGGTGTTCCAGAGAAGTGAGTGAGTTCGTGGGCGAGGCATCACCCATCAAACGAATTGCCTTTTTTGGACAGAATCCAACAGTTTCAGGGTATGTTTGACTGCTGCACTCTGGATATGGAAACAGTATTCTATTACAGGTCGGGTCTGTGCCTTCTAGATCATAAGAAGCTGACTGGAAGTGAAATAGCTCCTGGCCCGTGACAGAAAACCAAGTTTTTGTGATGCACTTTCAGCAATTGATCTCACGTGATTTTCCCAAGGCAGGTTATTGCTGATAATAGCAAGCATCGAAATGGATGTCGTCAAAGCTATGGTTACTCCTGACAAGCTCATGATTGGCACAGTGAAATCGGCTTTTCTAGAAAAAAGGCATGCTTGTGTTTTGTTTGCATTGAAATCTACCAAGTTATTGGATCCCCATTCGAGAATTATTGCCAAGTTCATTTTTATGTTTTCAACATTTCTTCCTCGTTCATTTCTGATTTGCCTAGCTGGTATTGGAGCCCTGGAAGAGAAGGCGGTATTGAAGGTTCTATCATCCGCGAAGCTGTGTAATGGACATGAAATGGTGCTAGAGTTGATCTTTGAACACCAGCATTTATGATGATAGAGTCAGATGAAACTCCGTCGACCACTACATAGAGAAATCTGTTTGAGAGAAAACTAGCTAGCAGAAAATATAGCTGGAGTGGCAAACCATAAGACGGAAGATAACAGGTGCCACGGCTGAGGTTTCACCATATTTTTCAATAGAATGCTGCCATATATGTGAGACGTAAGCGAGCAGGTCACCAGTTGATCTCTGATGACGAAAGCCATATTGCCTATCGTTGATAATACCTGAATGTATCGAAGACTGGAACCTTTGGCACGATAATACACTACACTGTTTTACCACTAACCAAACCGATTTTTTAACGCCTCGACACGTGTTTTGCTAACTATGTTAGCATCTTCAGGAGAAGATTAAAACTCTAAACTCTAATCTTCTCCTGAAGATGCTAACATAGTTAGCGAAACACGTGTCGAGGCGTTGAAAAATCGGTTTGGTTAGTGGTAAAACAGTGTAGTGTAATACCTGAATGTTCCAGGTATTTCATGAACTCGATGTTGATAGCTTTCTCCATGATTATGAAATAATAGATAGCAGTGCGATCGGTCTGTAGTTGCTAGGTAGGGTCTTTTTGCCTTTTTTTAGCAACTGGTTGTACTTTCGCAATTTGCCAGTTGGATGGAAATATCCCCAATTTGTAATAGTAGTTGAACAACATGCAGAGAACAGGTATTAGTTCGGAAGCACATTTCTTGAGAACAATCGGTGGGATTCCATCAGAGTCACGAGCTCTGTTGGTGTTGAGACCCAATGAAATCCTTCTTATAGTACGTTGGCAAAAGGCGATCTCGAGCATATGACTGTCAATTGGTGTTATATTTGGAGGTTGTTTTCCCGATGAATCTGGAGTGGAATTCCCACCAAATATATGCGCAAAAATGTTAGCTTTCTCTTCGGCAGATGTTGCTAGTGTTCCATCTTCCTTGGTTAGAGGAGGAAACAATCTGGAAGTGAAGTTTCTTTCTACAGCTCCGGCGAAGAACCAAAATAAACGGAATCCGTTAGGACATTCAACAACTTTTGATCTCATTTTGGCATTATGAGCATCCTCTGATGATCGAACGTTCTCATTGCATATGCCCTAGCCTCGACATATTCTGCTCTAGTCTCAGGGCCTGGATTTGTCTGCTCTAGAGCAGTTTCTACCGAGCTAGGCCTCATCGAGAGATGTTCTTCTTGCTGATGATGATTTCAAATTGAATACAAAATCCATTCGCCATATTGAATCCGCAATCTCAAATTCCAGAAATTTGTCGAATGATAATGAACTTCAACCCTGAGAACTCCCTGATTCCAATTTCGAATAGAATCGGATCATAATTACAGAATCCGCCATATTGGATCTACCATTTCGAATTTCTACCAGGATAGATAGATATCTATCTATATATTTGTCCGTCTCCTGGTTCTAAGCTACCCAGCCACCAGTTTTCAGCCAAATCGGTAATGTAGTTTTGGAGCCTATTCAATACAAACAAAATATCGAATCTTTCTTCTTCATATTATCAGTATAGATATATCGAATGCAAAAAGTAGGATCCTGAAATAATATCTTCTCAGAACTAGATATTCCTATCTATCATTTTTCAAGAAGCATCAGATATAATTCAATATTTTGTAGCTTTAGTCAGAAGAGTAGGTAAGTAGTTGTTCATTCGAACAATGACTTTCTAATGTATCAGGAAACATATCAGTTCCCAAATAAAGTCACCCTATAAAAAAACACAAGATGTGATGTTTTTGAAATTATTCTCTGGCACCTTCGAAGCACTCCTTTATGTATATCTGCGAATCAAATCATACCATTTCCAAAAAAAAAAAACTCACCTCACGGAAATACACGATAGGAAGTATTCGAAACTTCATTCTAGTCCTACCTTTACGAAAAACACTTTACTGATGAGTGGTTTTCTTAAAATCATGCGGAATAGCTCTTTTTGCGACTGATCATCTCGATTTCCTCATATATCCATTAATCTTATGAATTTACGGAATGAAAGTTTTAAAAAAAATTTCTCATTCTACCCTGGGGTCACATATGCTTATGTGAGTTCTTCCATACAATCTTGCGGACAAGGTGAAAGAGAAAACTATTAGAAATTTCCAATCGTGTATTTTTATGAGAAGAGTTGTTTTCATGGGCTCCGAGATGATTTGACTTTCACAGATATCCATTCCTCAATATTTTATAAGAAACATCCGAGCAAAGTGCCTCACAAGGGGGCTGAAGAAACATGATAAATGATTGTTATCGTGTTTATTGATGTAATGAGGTGATTATCATTGATGCTAGGATGATTTGATTTTATAAAATACCCAGTCTGAAGAACTGTATGAAAAAACTCATGAGTGAAGTGCAGCTCAGGAGAGGTAAAGAAAAATTCCAGAAACTCTATATCGTGTTTTTTCATGACATGAATAGATGTGTCTGAGATGATTCGATTTGTAAGAGCATATGAGGATATTTTTCAAAATACACATGGATCAACTGTCCTTCAGTGGCATATCATATCGAAATAATGTAGGAGCGCGCTTAAAAAACCATATATCTCATTATATACGATGAAGTGCATCAAATTGAGCATATGCCGACTAAGAAGATATAACTATACTAGAGAATGAAAATATAACCGTATTGTTTGGTAGACATTTTTGTCTTCATCCACGATTGAAATCTGATTTAGTTTAAAATTTCGAACTAACCTCCAACTTTGGCGCATCGTAGAGCGAAAACTATTGGTCGGAGTCAAAAAATGCAAGAGACAAAATTGAGCAGAATTTTGTTCTCTAAATATTTTATTCGAACTGAACTGCACACTTTTCGTCCCCTCACCCCTCGAACGGCATCCTCCAGAGGTCACAAACTCATTAGGTGGACATCAGGAGACCTATTTGTACATACATTCCTACATGATTTCATTTCTTTCCGGCCTATTGCGAATAATAGTACCAGTGATTTCGTACCCATCGTCTGGCTTATTAGATGACTTATTCCAGTTATTAGTGCCCATGTTCAAGTTATCATTTCATGACAACTAGAATGCATTATGCCTCGATGGATTGCGACTTTGCCTATAAGACGTTCTCAAAGTACCTGCGAGTACTTTGACTAGGGCGAAGCTATCGCTTTCAACTATACTTATTCGGTAGAAAAACTATTGAGGAACTGATTTGAGTCCTTTTTTTTTCTTCGATTCATACATCTCCTGGATAACAAACAAAGTAAATATATCTTCTCAAGATTTTTGTGCTGAACCATTAATCCTTTTAACTTCTTCACGGTAAATGGTCGGCAAAGAGAAGTTGTCTAATTATAGAATTATCAGATATCTCGCCCTGTGTGTGCGATGTATTGATCAATATGTAACGAACACTAGAAGGAACAAAATCGTTATAGTGGAGCTTGAAATGGAATACCATCCAATCCAATAAAGAGAGCGTAAAACGAACCACACAATCAAGAACAACTGCCGATAAATTCAAAAGAGATTTCGTTCACTTCAACCGACATGTTGATGTCAAATCGAACGAGGTGCTGAAATTGAATTTCTGTTACTTGATCTCTGTTTCTTCTTCAATTATCATCCATAGCTATATAACAGTCAGACTTTATCTATATAACAGTCAGATTTTCAATATTCCGGTTCTGTGGAAAAATATAATTTATTTCGATGCCATGGTTGAGATAAATGCTTGTGAATCATACTTCGAATGATGAACGTCCAAATAACTGTGGTATGATCACAAAAGTAGCCATAATCAACCATTTAATAAAGATGCTCATCCCAAACCGCAATAAAAATTACATGTGACAAAATACTATAAGGGAAAAATGCATACAAGTGATTCCACAAAGTAGCGTACTGATAGGCCCTTGCTGTTCATCATCTCTAAAAATTATCTTCCACTATTCGATGATGAAGAATTTAAGATCACAAAATGCAAATGGCCCAAGTAGGGGAGGCAAAGAGACTAAATAGAGATAATACTCTATCGTCGTGGGGACCGATTAGATTATGAAGATGATATATTTACTAACAGGAAAATAGTCAATATGAGGTATGACTTTCCACTGGAGGAAAAGGGTGTACTGGTTTTCAAAAATGTAAAAAAAGGACAGTCACGAAGAAATACACGAGAGCTTCAGATGTTGCTAGTGTATTGCACCAAAGTGATTCTGATAACGTACGAAGGGGGTGGAGAATAGTGAAAAAAAATTCATTCGAGCGAGTCAGATACACTGAGGAAAAAGCACTCATTAAATTTTCTTGTTATGTCTGAGTTAATGACTGAAATTTCTGATCATATTCACTCATGTTACGTATAGCACCAAGGACTAATAACCATAACTAGAGACGTTTCATTGGGAGTACTTCAATTTACTTCATTGGACTTCTTGTGATGAATTAATGTCTAAACCTATGATAATTAACGCAGACGAGTGAATTTTAATTATATTACCATTACTTCTTATTGAATTACCATCATAGGAAATTTTAATGACGAACGTTGACGAATGTCCCCGAGTATATAAGAACAAGAATTTTTCCGACACATTGACACACCCCCTCCCCCTCGTCAGTTATCAGACTTAGGTCGGCATAGTCGGTCGGTTAACTCGTGCTTCGCGCATTCCCTTTGTTAAATACGGTTGATAGTTATGATTCTGAGTTGTGATCGAGTGAGGTTTTGGAAAACTGATGGTTAGAAGTGTGCAAGAATTGGGATTGACCGAGACATTTAGGAGTGATATTTTGATTTGAAATGTTGGAGTTATTCAATTTTCAACCACTTATCTTAACGTAAGGCATATTTAATTTTTTTTGTTCATTATTAAACTTCTTTTTTTTAAAGTTCAATATTCTCATTCCCTACCATCTACAGAGTTCAGTTCAGGGCGGTTCTTCTCCAACTTCATGACAGCATTTATATTTTTGCTGCACCAATTCATCTTTACCTATACGTTAGGTATAGGTGAGATCATTAATCAAATGATTCTTCATCAAATGATTACATGAAATAAATAGGAATAAAGATCTTTTGGCATGAAACCTCTGTATTGGAATGATTAATTACTCTAGCTAATTTAATTTGATAATCGAATATTTTTTACCAAATTGTCCAGAATAGAAAAAATCTATTTGGCACATTCAATTTTCGAAGCTTATATTCAGTGAAAAGGTCATTATGAAAAAAAGGAATAATCGGAAATGAATTTATTGAAAAAGTGAGATTTTCCGAACATTGAAAGTTCTTTAATGGGTGGAAAATAATGTATTTTCAACATATTATTTTCTCTACTTCGTTTCCAAGAGTATTTCGAAAGATTTTCATATAGCTGTTATTCTCACTGACAGAGCTCCAGAAATGAAAAGTGCTAAATAGATTTTTTCTATTCTGGAGAATTATTTGGAAAAAAATATTCGATTATCAACTCGAAATAACTAAAGTCATTAATTATTTCGATACAGAGGTTGAATGCTTGTTATACGTTCTGGATAATAGCAGCGATTATACTCTTTAATTATAGTAATACACATTGATGAATGACCGTAAATCGTTCACGGTGTAGCCTTCATGTCATGGTTCATTGAATTATCTAGTAACTGTTATTGGGTCGTCATAGCGAAATGCATTGAATATAGCCTTTATGAGACAGCTAGGCTGTCCCCTATTCAATTCATTTTTTTTCATGAAGGTTATTCAATTTTCAATAACCACTATTCGATTTTTTCCTAAGTGTATTGAGGAGAGATGTTGGGTGAACCCTCAAGTTGCTCCTATTCAAAGGGCTGT